ATGGAAAGAAGAAATTTTAACAACCCAGACATGATACAGTCTGCAGTCATAGTCAAAGGGGTGAACAAGTTGACAGAGAATTAAAAATGGGAAGAGGCAAACCAGGATGGTTAGTCACCATGAGTACAATTCATTGTGGTAAGTGCTATGAGAAATGAATCACAGGGTGTTACAGCAGCAAAACTGGGAGGTTTCTGACCTGCCTCAAGTTACCCCAGAGGAGGCTATCCCTAAAACACAGGGCTAGGGCTTGAAATCAAAGAGGTCAATTAGAAAGGCCAGAACACGGGAAGGGCACTCAGGAGCACCTGCGCAAAAATAAAGAAATAAACAAATAAACCCAACAAAGTGATAACATGGCAGTTAGGGGAATGCAAGCCATTTGGTGTGACCTTAGGAGATCTAGGTTGGGGAAATGCTGATAGGTGAACAGCAGACAAAGGCCTGGTCCTAGTTACATACTATGCTAAGGAATTTGGATTTTATCTTGAAGGCTCTGGCAGAGAATTTTTTTCCTGACTACAAAAGTAATACATGCTTATTAAAAGGAATTTGGAAATATTGAAAAATATGAAGAAGCTAAATTATATCAGATATGTATCCTATATTCTTTTTATTTTTAGTCCCCCCCCCCAAATTTTATTTATTTATTTTTAGAGAGAGGGCAAGGGCGAGAGAGGGAGAGAAATATCAATGTGTGGTTGCCTCTCCCGTATCTCATACTGGGGACCTGACCAGAAACCCAGGCATGTGCCCTGACTGGGAATCGAACCAGTGACCCTTTGGTTTGTAGGTTGGTGCTCAATCCACTGAGCCACACCAGCCAGGGCTATTTTTAATTTTTTAATTAAGAAAATATTGGCAGTCATGTGAATTTATATCCATTAATTTTTCCTAACATATAACAAGCATTTTCACATCTTTTTAAAAGATTTTATTTGTATTTATAGAGAGGGGAAGAGGAAAAAAAGAGGGAGAGAAATACAAGTTGGTTGTCTCTTGTATGCAGCCTGACCAGGGGACCAAACCCACAAGCTGGGCAGGTGTCTTGACTGGGAATCGAACCAGCAAACTGGTTTGTAGCAGAATGCCCAACCAACTGAGCCACATTGGTCAGGGCAGGAAATACAACTTTCAATTATGTAATCATTTGTTCACACTGTAATTTCTTACCTTACCCCTCATTACTGGACATAATAGGTTTTTCTAGATTCCACTATAATAAATAATGTTGGCACTTCTGTGTGTAAAACTTCAACCACATTTCAGATGATTTTCTTTTTAAATATTATTTTAATATTTTAAAAATTATTTCTCTTTGTTCATACTGGCATTATATTAATGTATAGGTCTGTCTTAAATAAGTAAGTTTTATCCCACGTACCCTAGCATTTAAAAAAAATCCTAATTCCAAGGACAAAATTTTTTTCTGAGATTAAATATTTTTATGTTTATCAGATGTTTCTATTGCTTCTCTTGTAACTTTTTTGTGTATCTTTCCTTTTATCCATTTGTATGAGCTCTTTATACATTAAAGTTATCAATTCTTTACATTTATATTTGTTAAAATTATTTTCCTGAGTTTTTCTGCCTCTTAATTTTGTGACTTTTGGACACAAAACTCATTTAAAATTTTTTATGAATTCAAAACATCAGTATTTTATCTTTTCCCATACTTTAGGATGTGTTTCTGATCATGAGATCTGACCAATATTCTTATTTGCTTGATTTAACTTCAATACATATGGAATTTATTTTGGAATGTGGTATAATATGAGGATCTCCTAAAAGAGATTTATTTATTATTTTTTTGCATAGCTATCTATTGTCCCTAAATATTCTTTCCCTGTTACTTTATGATGTCCCTTTAATTTATTAAAATGTTTACACATAATAGTTTTTGAGCCACATTTTGGCATGAATCCATCCTTATATCAGCACTATAATATTGTAATGATTATAGTTTTATAATATTTTATAATCCAGTGGGCATTTCTCCCCCAATACTCTCATTTTTCACAAATATATTATGTCTGATGAATTTTATACTAATTTTTCATAGTTATTGACCTTTTCCCTAAACTTTACATTTAATTAAAAAACTAATGCATGCATATAATTAACTCAAGAAATACTAATGTAAACAAAAAATATAATGTCAGAATCCTCCTTTATCCCACTTTTTCTCTTCCGGTCTGAGCACTTTATAATAGATATTTCTTCACATACAAATTCTCTCCCTTTCTGGTGATGGGAAGGGAGGGACACCTTCCCTTTCAGTCCCCAAGAATGCAGTCTGGGCCCTTCACATGTGCACCTCCAGAAACTGTGGGCCCCTCCCTAAAGGTCAGTGAATGTCCCCAAGGTGTGCGCTTTTCCATAGTTCATCATGACTGTACCTTGCCCCTCTGCTCAGGATTGCTGCTCCAATGTTCTCCATCAACTCCCTGTGCCCACAGTGACTTCTTCAGGCCACAGCACTTGTCCCTCTGCTTCCACAACAAATACCAGACACAGCACCTCTCTTCGTCCCCCAAATCACAGCGAAGGCATGGCTGTCACATTTCACAGACTTTATTAAGGAATTAGGCTAAGAAAATGCAATATAGAAAGGGAAATTTAAAACCAGATAGGAGACAGAACTGCTTCTCCGGTCCACCAGAGTGTCCCTCCTGTTCATCTCAGCCTTGGGCCCCTGCCCCGTTACTGCTACTTTGAAGGGTCTGCTCCTCTTATGAGGGTCACTTCCTGCTGTTCCTTCTTTCTATTACAGGGTCCAATTCTTATTACCAACCAGTGACATTCAAATTGTCCTTGGGAATCACTCAAGTAGCCAAAATGTATAGTGTGTGTGATTTTGTGTGTGCAATTCTGTAGAAAGATTTTTTTCTTTCTTCTAATTTTTGATCATTAACCTTTCTCTGCAGCTGTCAGTCCCTCACTTTTTTCCTCAAGGAAACCATCTTGCCTAGACATATGCACACACACACAGAAAGTTCACTCTTTTCGGTGAGTAGTTGGGAAACCTTTTAAAACCAGACGTTCTTTTCAGGGGTGTCAGGACTGTGGCATCCTTTGCCTAGGGCACACACTGCCCAAATGATGTGCACTCTTGAAATGATTAGTTCTCTGTCTTAGTTAGCCAATAGTTGAATTCTTTTAAGTGCCCACATGTGGCTAGCTGACAATCTTTGCAGAAGACAACTTTTTACACCATGAGGCAGAACTCTTAACTTCTCAGTCTGCAGCAACTCGGCTCTTGTATTTTGATTTCTATGTGTTCAGGGCTTCTCCAAGGTGTGTGTGTGTGGGGGGGGGGGACAGATATTGCTGAATCATCTTACAAATGTGTTCAAGGAGGAGGGAGGAGGTGGTGTGAGGGGAACAGAGTGATAACCAAGGATGCAGTCTGAGATGGAGTCTTGAGCAAGATACGGTATAAATCGTGACAAGGATTTTGGTTTTTACTCTGAAATGGGTAGAGAATAGTGAGCGGGTGGGTTTGAGCAGAGGAGTACCATGATGGACTAGAAAGGAGACAGAATTGCTTCTCTGGCCCACCAAGCTTTGGGCAGGACCACTTTCATTGCCATGTCGACTGGCTGGGGTGAGGGAAATCTACCTTGGGTAGCAGAGGAGGAAGGTGATGGTGTCATTTGCACCTTGAGACAAGCTGTGGCAGTGAGGGCCAACAGGAATGGACGAGTGTTTTCCCGGGCTTCCTCAATCGCCCAGGTCTATGGGAGAGGTGCAGGGTACCACCCAGACCCCTTCCAGGGTGGAGCCTGGGGACTGCTCAAACTCTCCCTGAATTTCTGTCTAGGAATTGCTCTTGGCTGCAGGGTGCTGCCTTGCCCCAGGGAATAGTCCCCTCCCCTGAGGCAACTGCCTCTAGTGACTAGTGACAGGGGTGAAAAGATCTGAAATAACTGTAGACAGCCACGGCTTCTGTAGCAGCTGTGTCACAGCTCATTTTCCTTTGCACCATGCTGCTTCCGTTGCTCCTCACTGGTGTGTCCCAGGAAAACTGCACTCAACCTGAGTTTCAGAGCCCGCTCCACTGGGAACCTGATCTAACACAGGGCTTCTTTAAAACTTCACTAAAACCCTGGCTGGCGTAGCTCAGCGGATTGAGTACAGGCTGCGAACCAAAGTATCGCAGGTTCGATTCCCAGTCAGGGTACATGCCTGGGTTGCAGGCCACAGCCCCCAGCAACCGCACATTGATGTTTCTCTCTCTCTCTTTCTCCCTCCCTTCCCTCTCTAAAAATAAATAAATAAAATCTTAAAAAAAAAAACAAACTTCAGTAAAACGATGTCATTTTTCAACCAAACACCCTGCCACGGCTCACAGTTCTGTCCGTCCCAGGGAAAACAAGTCCCTGAGGTGGCCTCCAGGCCCAATGCAGTAGGACCCCCCGCCCTCCAACCTTGCCCTGTTCCCCCGTCCCTTGTTCACCTTGCTTCAGATCTGAACTGGCCTCTTGTCATCCTTTGAAAATGACAGGTGCAGTCTTTCCTCATCACACTTTTTGTCCTGTTCTTTCTTTCTCTGATTCTTCACTCATGCGTCTTCCACCTCCGCCCCGGTGGCTGCTTTACTGACTCAGTGAAGCCCTCTCTGTCCCTTCCGCCTAAATGGGCACCCTCCCAACCTCCACTACTCTCTTCTGGATCCCCACCACCCTCTCACATACCGTCCCGTTGACTTAGTTACTTTGTTTATGGACTTTTGTCTTACTGTCCACACAGAGTAGGAACTTTTCCCCTTCCGATTTGTTCACAGATATAACCCAGGACTCAGAGCAGTGACTGGCACTTTGTAGGTGCTTCACAAATATTTGTTGCATAAAAGAAAGAGTAACTGGATGACCTTGGGAATCTTTATCAAGTTGATTGTAGAACAGTCCATGGGGTGTGGTAAACCAGGGATAGTGCTCAGAGCCAAGGCAAACAGAGACATGAGTTTTTAGGTAGGGGAGGAGATTGCAAAGGATGCTGGGAAGAAGCCACGATACAGGAGGAACACAGGAGAATGTGTCACAAAAGAAGTGAGATGAGAGGGAAAATAAGCAGCTGGGAAGAGCGCCATTAACATATGAAGCAAGGTAAAGATTTGTGGACTGATGGGTCTCCCAAAAATCCACATGTATCTCCCCAAATTCTTGTGTTGAAATCTAACCACAGTCTGGTGGTATTAGAAGGTGGGGTCTTTGGGAGGTCATTAGGTTGCAGGAGTGTAGCCCCCATGAGGGGACTAGTGCCCTTATAAGAAGAAGAGGCCAGAGAGCTGGGCCATTCTCTTACTGACATCTGTCTACAAGCAGCTGGCCATCTGCAGTGCCGAAGGTGGCTCTCACCGGAACCCAACCCTGCTGGCACCCTGATCTCAGACGTCCAGCCTCCAGCACTGTGAAAAGTAAATGTCTATTGCTTATAAGCCACTCAGCCCATGGTACTTGGTTATAGCAGCCTGAGCAGACTAAGGCAAAGACAGAGAAGTGCCTCCTGATGTGATGGTTGGTAGGTAACTCAGTTTTCAGGAGCAGGAAGGAGCGGAAGGAATGAGGTGGGATAGGTATGTGGATTACTTTCTCAAGAAGCTTGGTGGTGAAGGCAGGAGAGAAAGATTGGAGCTGGGCAGAGGGCTCAGATGGAAGGTCTGTATTTAGGTGGGAGAGGGAAGGCTAATTTGAATTTTAAAAAATGGTTTTATTTTTAGAGAGAGGAGAAGGGATGGAGAAAGAGAAGGTGAGAAACACTGATGTGAGAGAGAAGCACTGATTGCTTGCCTCTCGCATCACCCCACCCTGAGACCAGGTCCGCAACCCAGGCATGTGCCCTGACTGGGAATCGAACCAGCAACCTTTCAGTTGCAAGACATTGCTCAACCCACTAAGCCATGCCAGCCAGGGCAAAACTAACTTGAATTTTAAATGATGTATGGAGAGGGCTAATAATAAAACTTCTCATTCAAATCAGAGTTTTGAGGGGAAAAAGGAGACGGGACAAATGCTAAATTGGAAGGATGTCAAGACTTTGGTACATACAGTCACGCTGTCCCTGGCTGAGGTGCTCTCTGCAAGTCATTGCTTTGTACATAGCAGGCTACCACGTTTCCTAATGGTAGGTGGCTGGAACAAGCTTGCCTTTTTTTGCCTTTTTTGGTGGGGGAGGGATGACAATAAAAAATTGGTAAAGGTTAGTTTAGCCACAGACATATGCTCAAAATACAAGATTCGAATTTAGATTTTACTTTGAGAAAGTTCATTTGACACCTTTTTAAGAAAAGAAGCATCTCTATCGGCTTGGATAGAGGGAAGAATATTTAAGCAATTATAAAATGTTAGTTGTGTCGCATTTTCACTCTGAGTCATTTTATCTTTAAGAGATGAACTTCTGTCTTCCTGTTAATACAGCACAATTTCTATTAATTTTACCACTTCTAGTTCAGCCCACACACTGCCATATCCACACGTGGATTGTTTGCATATTTAAACTTTTAGTCAAACCCAATTTCAATAGATCTTGGGGAACCTTGGTGTTGGAGACTTATAAATACTTAAATACTATTACAAATGATACCAAATTTCTTTCTATTAAAGATAAGACTAGAGATGTCCAAAGACAAAAAATCTTAAAAGTTGAAAATGGTAAAATGGAAGAACATGCATTATTCAGGCGATCTTGGCAGAATGTAATGTCTTAAATTTAAGACTCAGAAAACTGTGTGAGAGAGAAAACAGAATCAGAGTATTCTCTGCAAGCCCTTCAACAAGTCTGAGGTCGAAACCCAGATTTGCATTTATTAGCTATGTGACCTGGAGCAAGGAAAGGACTTAACCTCTTAGGTCTCAGATTCCTAATCTGTGAAAAGAGATTCAGGGCATACTTCAGTGAGTTGTTTTGAATATTAAATGAGGACACATATGGGGAAAGTCTATAAATGCTAGTTTCTTACCGTCCTGTAAACATGAATATGAAGAAGACACGCAGACTAAAGTTAGGCATACACAACCTTAAGTCTTGGAAAAGGTAACAAGAAGATTGAGAAGTCAATTCTAACAGTTGCTCTAAAACAAATAAAACAACAACATAACAAAGGATTGGACATACCTTCATTCAGCAGTTTTTAACTTTCCATCTCAGATCTCCATTGTCCAGGTACATCTTAACACAAGGACAAGGAATTTGAGGACAAAAGGTATTTTTGCAACATTTGCATCAGGGCAAGCATCCAAACTCCTTCTGCCGAGTCTTCTGTCTTTTTAAATTTAATGGACTGTATTACTCTGTTATTTCCTTTGGCTCCTCTTCAGCTAAAAGTAACGCACAATATCAGCCATATCAAATATCCTGGGTGGTATGCTCTGCCCTGGAGAAGATGACCCCACACAAGGGCCCTGCTTCGCCACAGGGGTCTCAGCTGCTGAGCTGGAGCCTTCTGCAAGTCCAGGACTGGCAAAGCTGGAGTTTCTAATGGCTTGACAGAAATAAGGAGTGTCCCTTGTCGCTGTAAGTCTCCCTACAGTGCCCTTACTACTGGGAAGTTCTCCTGGCATTCTGCTGCGAGCACAGATGGATTTGTTATCAGCTGGTTGACTCCTCAGTCCCTGCACATTGCAACGGCTGGAGTTTGCAGTGAACCTGGGAATATGGTTGAGAGACGAGTGTAGAGGGAAAGGCAGGTGAGAGGCGGGTTAGAAATGACCCAGAGCACTGGATGTGTAAAAATAGGGCTACGTTTTACACCTCGGAAGCAAAAATCAACTGTGGTAAAAATCAGCCAGACTTGGGTACTATTCTTTTCCCCTTTCCTCCCTTCTTCTCCTTCTACCAACAAATAATAATGTGTCTGTATGTGCCTGGAACCCCTAAGGTTACAAATGGGAACGAAGCAGCCTTGGAGATTGTCTCCGTGAAACTTCCACTCCAGTGAGGGAGGTGCAGAAAGAACCGACAAACGACTCAACACACAGAAAGGGGCTGTTGCTCGTCTGGAGCTGATGAAATGCTGCATGTCCTGCTGCCCTCGGGTGGTCCTGACACCCTCCTGGCTTCCTGGCTTTGCAGTCTGTACAACTAGGTCTCCCACTGAAATGAATAATGGCCACCGAATTTTTTTAAAAAAGAAAACTTCATAATTACAGTCAAACAAGAATATCAATAATGAGCTAGCCTCCCACTGTTGCTCAGAAGACGCCGTAACTGTGGCTGTCCCTTCCTGGGCACTGACTTGCCCTGCACTGAGTGCCACCCTGGGCCTCTTCACTGTGGCTGGTGTTGGAAACTGCTGTCCTTGGTGCCTTAACGTGTCTGAGGGACAGCGCTGTGGGGCTTGCCAAGGCCTCGGCTTGTGCTCCTGCCGTCAAAGTCTGAGGGAGCCCAGACGGCGTGGGGCCCACCTCCCAGGAGATGCGGATAACAGCGAAACCCGAGGAGGACCATTGGCTGGGTGTAAAATGAATTAAGTGGAGTCTCCCCGAAGCAAAGAGGGTGATTAGAAGGGACTGGAATCATCTGTGGAAGGAAGAAGGCGGCAGGCATTGGGAGGCCCGATGACATGCCACAGGAAGTGATTTGCTCTGTGACTTAGGGAAAGAGAGGTTTTCCATCTTGTAATCTGCACTGCAGTTGCACAACATAAATTTTTAAAAAGAAAAACTAAAAAAATAAATTTTCCCCATGAACAAGTTTTAAAATCTAAGTAAAATATGGCATCGTTCTCATTAATGCTTGTCTTCAGTCAACACTGCTCAACTTTGAGTGTGCACTAAATCCTTTTCAGCGAGAAATCCCAGACCTTACCCCTCCAGCTCGTCTGAAAGGTCTGCTCCTCAATGTTCCTGTCAGATACATGATGGTTAGCGTGGTGAATTTCTCTAGCCGTTCTCCACTCCTGCCCAGGGCCCCAACTGCAGAATCACATCACCTCCCACTCACAGAGCTCTCATACCCCTCTCCCCTGATTTTTCCTCTTTCCCTCCTTGCTCCCTCCGTACCCTGAGATGCCTCAGGAGTCTCACTTTTAGATCAAAGGAAAAGGAAAAGAACTTTCTTCCATACTTTTGTCTTTTGTTTAAAAATCAACATTGCTTTTGTATTTGCCCAAGATACACTATTAAAACTTCAAAGGTTTGTGACCAAAATGAGTACAGAGAAGCCTTGTGGCAAAAAGCAGAGCTATTCTGTGAGAAATTAATTTCAAACGCTAGAGGGAGGGTGGCATTAGGTTTCTGAAACGACAGTACATTAGTTCAGCAAGAATACCTTAGAGCCATTCTGAGTCAGAGGACAGGATATTTTGATCTTCAAAGATAAAAGGGTAATTCTAAACAGCTAATCGTGCACAGGGCCCATTATGCATATTGATATAGGTATCAGGGTGAGATTTTCTGTGGTATGAGAGCCACATCCCACCCCGCACACTTAAACACTTTCCTTCTGGTTTACACACGACAAGGCAAGTATCTCTTTCCTCTGATGAACTAGTGTTAAGGGAAAAGAAACCTGTAATTATCTTCCTGGAGAGGGCAATTAGACTCCCTCGACCTCATCTGATCTTGGTAAGTATTAGGCGGGATAAGTAACATTTCTCAGAAGCCAGGAGGCCTTGCTTGGAGCTCTGTCACTCACCGAAATTGTAACTTCGAATCAGCTGCTTCACTGCCCTGAGTCTCAGATTCTTTGTCTGCAGAATGTGAAAAATAATGACTACCTCATGGGTTTTTTAAAAAAATTAAATCTAATACAGCATGTGAAAGTCCTTGGCACCAGCAGGTGCTCAGAAGCGTTGGTTCCCTTTCTCCTGCGCCACCAGGGGCAGGTGGAGGGTGGAGCGCTGCCAGCGTGACCCCTACCCCTGTCCCCCCACCGGGGCAACTGGGCCGCACGGGGGCGCCTCCTTCTCGCCACCTCCGCCAGGGGGCGCAGACTGAGTCGGCCGGGTGGCTCTGCCTTGGGCGTCTTGCTCTGGGGCCGCGATGTAGGGACAGGCCCCGTCTGAGGCACGTTCCTACAGCAGACGCAGATGCATCAGTCACTTTCCCGTCACGTCACCTCGGAGCTCCGAGGGCCGAGGAGGAGGATGAAAGGCGCCAACCAGATGAATAGTTGGGCTTGTCCGGGGCTGGGGTTTGGCTGAGTGCACTCAGAGAAAGCAGGGATGGGAAGCCCGGAGGTGGCGGGAGGGAGGTAGACGGGATGGCTGTTAGACTCAACGATTCAGGGGAGAAATGAGAAGAAAGCGCCGGGCGAGTAGGGGAGGAGGGGCTGTAGGTCCCTGGAGAGGAGGAAGGAGTGGATAAAGATGAGCTGGAGAGACCGTTGGGGTGGGGGCTGGGTGGGGAGGGAGTGACATAGGTGAGTCGTGGCTCCAGAAGGGACCCAGGCAGCCAGCGCATCCTCGAGTTTGTCTGGTAAACCTGCATGACGTGGTGCACCTGCGGTCTCGAGGCGACCCCCCTGGCCTAGTCCTCTCGGCTACGGTTCTCAGAGCCGCACTCCGCCGCCCTGAGTCCCCCTTTACTGGGCACCGCCGCTGGGTGAGGAGCCCGCACGGGCGGATTTCGTAGCTCTCCGCGCTGTCGGGAGGATTACCATACTGACTTCACTGTACTACCAGCTCATAAATGTCTTGACATTCAAATCTTTTCAACACATTCCTAAAATTTCCTGTTTTTAAATTTAATCCAACAAATGATTAAGAGCTGGCTTAGAGACAGACACCGAGGGTGAGAAAGAAGTGGAGACTGCCACGCTGAGGCAGGGGGTAGGGGTGGGGAGGGGATGGGGTGGGGTGGCCGGCAGCCACGCTCAACAGAGAAAGGCAGAGCCCTCTGAGTCGGGGTCAACAGCACAGAAGCCCCCGGGGGCCTGCACAGGGTGATGGCCTCTGTCCCAGGGTATGCCAGCTCCCCGCTGGTCCAGTCGTAGTATTCTCCGCCTGCCCCCAATTCCTCTCCCTTCCTTTCTCCCTTCTGTTACCCTGCATGGTGCATCTGGGGAATACACTCTGGCCCACTTCAGCTGTGTGTGTTTGTGCATGTGTGTGGCCATCAAAGTATGTGTTGTTGTTTCTTAAATTTACATATATATATAGTTTTTCTACAACTTGCTCATCTTGTACACCATATTTCCAACACCTGTCTTACTTGACATGTAGATCTAATTCATTCATTTTAGCTGCTGTGTAGTAGGAGACTACATGATCGGATTACTTTTTGCATTTTCCCACTGATGCACGTGTATGTAATATTTATTATCTGCTAGGCACAGTTCCATGTTCTTTAAAAATTCTCATTCACTAGCCTCATAACAAGTAGTAATATTACCCTATTTTATAGACAGGGAGACCAAGAGGCTAAGTAACCCATTCAAGTTCACACAGCTAGCAAGTGGTAGAACCTGGTTTCAAACCAAGATTATCCATCACATCAGGGACTCCATCCTAACCCTAAGCTTTGCTGCCTCTTTAAGGTGTCCCAGTTTTACCCTAGTACTGCTTTCCTGCACTTACTCTTATGCCTACTGCCACCGGCAGATGAGTGGAATTTCTCTCTGGCTTATACCTGGAACTGGGGTTCCTGGGTCCAGATGGCCTCTGTCATGGCAATGAGTTTTTACTGCGTTAACCAGAGTAAGGAAGGAAGTGTCATAGTGATATTGAGCCCAGGTTCGGGGCTGCCTGCCACTGGAAAGCCAGTAATCAAGGGACAGGGGCTGGTGGAAGCAAAGCAAGTCTCTTCAAGACCACCCTAACAATTAGACCTGGGCAAGGGGTTTTGTAAGGAGGAGGAAAAAAGAAACTAGAACAAAGGAATCAAAAGATGGGGGTTGAAAATTCTTCATTGAGGGGCCTACGTGCAAGAAAACACAGTCTGTTCAGATAAGTGGCCGAAGGTCAGCAAATCTCCCAGAGCCGGACTGGGCAAAGGTTGGAGTCGGCTTCTACTGAAGTTAGTTCCTAGAATTCAGAAGCAAACAGGCTGTCTATCTGCGGTCACTTATTAGTTAACAGCTTACCACATACAGAAACAATGTTGGAAGAATGGTGGGTAGGTGGCACTAGGAACAATGCTGAGGCTTGGGAGGAATTCCGAGTTGATAAAGAGTCACTTCAAACCCTGGCTGGCATAGCTCAGTGGATTGAGTGCGGGCTGCGAACCAAAGTGTCACAGGTTCGATTCCCAGTCAGGATACATGCCTGGGTTGCAGGCCATGACCCCCAGCAACCGCACATTGATGTTTCTCTCTCTCTCTCTCTCTCTCTCTCTATCTATCTCCCTCCTTTCCTTCTCTAAAAATAAATAAATAAAATCTTTAAAAAAAAGAGAGTCATTTCAGTGTTTTCTCTAGCTCCTAACTACACTCTCTTCTGTCACTGTAGTCACCCAAGAGGTGGGTAACAGAATGTGAAAATACTTTGAGAGAAGGCAGATGGCCCATATCAAATAAGCAATGCTTCTGAATTTCTTATCTCCCTCATCACAGATGCACTGTAACACATCTGTATAATTTCAGCCTGTAAATTTGACTCATTAGTCTGCTAAACCACTTACGGGATTCTGTAAGTTGACCTGAACCAACAATTTTGAACACATTTTGCAATATTACTACTGTAAGAACAGATAGCTTTTTAAAAATTGAGTTATAAGGGTCAGCTTAAGCGGTTACTTTGTCTCGGCAGACACTAAAAGTTTCGGTATAATTGACATACAACACTATGTTAGTTTCAGGTGTACAACGTAATGAACTGATGCTTGCATCCATTGTGAAATGATCACTGCAATAAATCTAGTAACATTTATCACCAGACAGTTACAGATTTATTTCCTTCTAATTTTTAAGATCTACTTCCTTAGCAAGTTTCAAATCTGCAACACAGAATTATTATCATGCTGTACATTACATCCCTGCCCATTGAGGGATGAATGGACAAACAAAACGTGGTATGTACACATAACGGAAATTTGGCCTCAAAAAGGGAAATGGTGTCACATGCTACAACATGGAAGAGCACTGAGGACATATGCTCAGTGAAATAAGCCAGTCACCAAAGGACATATACCATGTAATTCCACTTATATGAGGTATCCAAAGCAGTCAAAGTCATAGGAACAGAGAGTAAATGGTGATTGTCAGGGGCTGGGGGAGGGAATGGGGAACAGGATTGTAATCATGCCAGCTGGGAAGAGTTTGGGATTTGTTGCATCACCATATGCATATAATTAACTATGCTGTACTGTCCTTAGAAATTGTTAACAGAATAAATTTATATGATGTGTTTTAACATGCACATGGAGTCTGAGCTCAAAGTTCCTGGATGGGCACTAGTTTCCTCCTCCGGCTCCTCTGTCTTTAAGGACCTTAAGCGTCTCTGCAGAGCCCTGCAGCTGACCCTCTGTGGCTGAGCCTCTGTGCTCAGGGGCTGCCTCTGTTTTGCTGGACTCCTCTCCACTGGAGGCTGGACTCTCAGGCCCTGAGGCCCAAATGGGAGCAGGTAGAAGGGCACTGCAAATAAAGGCAGCTTAATTGCCCCGCCACCTACGGCACTCTCTGGAACAGGACATTTTTATATCAAAAAACAAAAACAAAGCGCTATAGCATCTCTTCAAACTTAAGAGGTGTCCCTTGACAATTTCTGCCAATTTTTCTTCCCCCGAGAATTCATTATGT